CAGCCCCATCATTTGATGTACTAACTCAAAGTAGCACATTACATTTAGTCATGCTTGATAGTGCTATTACAAATCTACTTCGGCTTAGGAAATCGAGCAGCAGTACATGAATCTATACCTTGTAAACGAGTAAGCATCAATGAAGAGCACTTAGTCAGGATTCAAAGGTCCATACTTTAAAAGTCAATTAATTTGTGCATATATCAGAACGAAGGTTATTCAGTGCTTTTGGTTTTGAATTGTTCGTTAGTTTATATCATTTGATGATGAGAAATAATTTTGAATTGAAAGATCTTTATAAACGTCTTTTCCTAATAACTTCTTTAAGATGAATAAGAAGAAATGATAAAATCAGCACAATATAGTATTTAGACTAGTCTGTTTGTATTATATTAATCTTAAAAATAAGTAAGATCGATCCTGTGAATAAATGAAGACTAGGAAATTCTTATTTAGCCTGAACAATACGTGTATAAAGCAATTAAACCGTGAAATATCCAAATAGATAAAGAAAAGAAACTTTTTAATGAGGACAACAATGAGAAAACGAACTTGATCCAATGCATATTGAAATATTAAACGATTAGCTGTAATATTAGCTAAAAGTCTACCAACTGGTTCAATTAAATCTTCACGACGTGATTGCCTTGCTAATTGTCTAAGTCGGATATAACAACGATGGTATAATGTATTACAATCGACTAAACCTGAAAAGTACAAACGAAAACAAATAGTTTGTAATAAATAAAAAGAGAAGAATATTACTGAAAAAAAATTTAGTCCAGTTTTCAATATAATAAAACAGGATCAAAGTTGTAAAACACGAAATATGGTATAGTATGAAATAAAATGTAATCAGTTAGAAAGATACTATTCAAGATGATCGATTAGACGAAATAATAAACAAAAATCACTCACCATCTTCCACAAAGTTTGACTCATGGGTTACATGTACATTTTTTACATACGGCTGAAGCCATCGGTATCAACCGTGAAAAAAAATGACCTCAGAGTGCGTGAGAACTTTTTACACCTTTCAATAGTAATTACTTTATTTACTTTATGCTTCAATTAATTCGTTATTGATTGATAATTAATTCCAAAGACACATTTTGATTTGTAATATTGTTATCTGACATAGTATCATTTGATTAACGTCGAGTTCATCATTATTATTAAGCATACATAATAATGTGGAGCCACGATGAAAAATTAAGTGAAAAGAAATACTTTTTCGCTAATTTAGTCTTGTTTTCGAAAACAACAATACGCTACGCACTGTTCAATAGTTTATCAAATGAATAGGATAGGCTAATTCAGTAGCTAGCTAATACAATTCAGTAACCAATCAAAACTTCTAGTAAGAAGGTTGTGATATATATGGGATTGGAGTCCAGTTTTTGAAATTCAAGTGATCTAAGCCACCTTGTTCTAGATCGAAATATTCAGACAATGTCATTCAGCATATCAAGAGAATAGACATTTAATTAGGTGCAAAATAATAGACCTTGACGATATAATTAAAACAGGATGAAACTTAGTAATTATTATGAATATAAAGGCATGAAATCACGTAGAATTTAAAAAAATTGGTATACCCAAATGTCCTGGCCCCGCCCTCCCTCTCGGAACGCATCTCGTCACGATGCTCCACTGCCTTGTGGGTCGGACTATTAAGTTAAAGGCTCGGGGTGTGGCCCCCTAAGAAAACCACATGCTTTGGTATGGGCATCCGGGAAGTATCACAGCCCACACACAAATATGATGAAATGTCGATATTTATGGAAAATACTGGTCGCAGGACAGATAACGGGGACCATCTACTGCAACTGTGCACAGACCACAACCTGTTTCTCGCTAGCACTAACTTTCGGCACAGTCATCGCCGATGTGCCACCTGGCGTCCTCCCTCAGCATCATAAGCCTGGACTCAGATTGATCACATCGCGATCAGCTACCGCTTGCGTGGTTATGTACAATACTGCCGCTCCTTTTGAAGTACCTATCTGAACTCTGACCATGCCTTGGTCTGCGCCAATCTTACCTTACTTTTTAGTGGCCAACAAAGTGACCGCCACCAAAAGATTGATGTTAGCAAGTTGGTTGCAACTTCACGACGCCATGGAAATGGCGAGTAAAGCCGCTTACGGCTTCGCGAAACGTCCCGCTTATAAGCATTGCGTTCCTTACAACTCATTGAAGCCCGTCGGTCTACTCCGGGTGACCGTGAGTTTGACCACATACGAAGGCTGTTAGGTAATGAAATCGGGCAAAGCTTGTGTAAGGACTGAGAAACCTGGTGGTCGGAGCGTGCTAATGAGATGGAAGCAGCAGCTACATCTGATAACTACCAAAAGCTCTTCCAACTCATCCGAGCCACTGGCAGCAAGAAGTCTGGTGTGAGCGAAACAATCTTCGAGGATGACGGGATGCCAATCACTAACATCCATCGACGTCTTAGACGATGTGCAGAATTCTTCGAAGGGCAGTTCAACTGGCCTGCTGCTCCGGCAACATCGGTCAGACATTACTACCCTCCATGGTCGATGACGACTGATCCACCAAACGAGGAGGAAGTCCGCAAGGAACTCCAACTCTTGAAGCGCTACAAATCACCTGGCCCAGATGACTTACCTCCGGCTCTTTTTAAAGATGGTGGTGACTTTTTGACTAAGGGACTGACGACGTTATTTACAAAAGTCTGGGAACTAGAGAGTATACCAATGTCATGGAATGAGTCGATAGTTTTCCCTATCTTTAAAAAGGGTTCACATCGTTCCTGTAACAACTATCGAGGGATAAGTCTACTTTCGATTGCGTCCAAGATATTGGATCCCGTCATACTATGTAGGGTGTTCAAAACCCGAGAAAGATTGACTCGCGAGGAGCAGGCTGGTTTTTCGTTCCAGTCGAGGATCTATTGATCATATCTTCACCCTCCGCCAAATGTTAGAACACCGTTATACTTATCACAGGCCAACAATCATAGTGGATGTAAGTATTGGCGGTGTGGATCTGTTGCCTGGAGAAAGACTTCTCGACCTTGAGTATGCGGATGACATTGTCTTACTGTGCAATAATACTCAAACCAGACAATCTGCACTTAATCAGTTGGCAATCAATGTCTGTAGGTATGCTATGTGCTTTACACTTTCCAAGTACTTTCTAATCCTGTACTCACTCTGGATGGTGAGCAGATAGAAGTAGTCGATAAGTTCGTGTATCTAGGTAGCTGCATACGTGCCGGTGGTGGCGTGAGTGATGAGATCAATGCACGTATAGTGAAAGCCACAGCGGCTTATGCCAATCTGGGCCATCTTTGGCGCCTTCATGATGTTAGTCTGGCTGTAAAAAGTCGGATCTACAACGCGTCGGTGAGAGCAGTTTTGCTCTATGTTTGTGAAACCTGGCCTCTCCGAGTTGAGGACGTTAGACGACTCTGTGTTCGATCATCGTTGTCTCCGAAGGATTGCTGACATCCAGTGGCAACACCATGTTAGTAATGCAGAGGTTCTGCATCGTGTGTTCGGGCACAGAGACAATAATTCAATTGGTGTCACCGTCTTGAAACACCGACGTCGGTGTCTTAGACATGTTCTACGAATGTCGTCCCAGAGAATTCCACGTCGTGCATTATTTGCCGACTCTGGGACTGGTTGGAAAAAGCGGAGAGGCGGTTAGTGTATGACATGGTGTCGTGGTATGAAAGAAAGCTAATAAGAGCTGGCTTGTGTTGGTCCTTCACGACTCCCTGGTTGGGGTCCGAGAGATTGTGCAACACAGTAGCTAGAGACGTTATCAGATATGGCTCAGAATAGAAGCCAGTGGCGATCCTGCTGTAACCTTCTTTTACTTTCTTCGTAAAAAGTGGTTGTAAGTTCCTTAACTGAAAGAATTCTTTCTGGTTGTACCTTTCCGTTTCCTCCATTATTACTATTATTATTATCATTACACAACCTTACACTAATCAGTTCGTTATTGTTCTTTTTTAGGCTCCTTACCTTTTTTCCCTTCGAATTCTCATTGTTTTGTGTGGCGCATATATATTTGGTGCCCTATTGTACCAATATTTATGTGTTCAAATAAATAATAAATAAATTTAGATACGAATGAAGATAAATGGCGAAAGGAATCAAAACACACTGTGACGATGAAAAACCTCGGCAGGATCATCGATGAACAAGGAGGATCTGATGTAGACTTCAAGGGAAGGATTGACAAAGGGTAGCATTCCTACAGTTGAAGAGCATGTGAAACTAAAAACAACTGTCAACCAATATCAAAGTCACAATTATCAATACGAACGTCAAGACAGTTCTACTGTAAGGAGCTGGAATTTGGAGAACTACCACAACCATCATCAAAAATGTACAAGTATTTATAGACAATTATCTACGCAAAATACTCAATGTCCGTTTGCTGGATACAATCAGCAACAGCCTACTATGGGAGAGAACAAACCAGCTTTCAGCTCAAGAGGAAATTAGGAAAAGACGATGAAAGTGAATGGGACATAAATTGTGGAAATTATAAAACTGCATCACAATGCCAGCGTTAACTTGTAATCCTGAAGAGAAAAGGAAAAGAGGAAGAGCCACGAACACACTGTGCTGAGAATCGGAAGCAGATATGAGAACGATAAATCGAGACTGGATACAACTGGTAAGGATTGACTAGGAGAGGATTGTATGGAGAATGCTGGTGGGCGGCCGATGCTCCTCCATAAGGAGTAACAGGCGTAAGTAAGTACGACAATGAAAATGAAGTTTGCAGGTTGTCAGGTAAAAGTGAAGCATTCGAAACTATATATGGAAGCTATTTTAGTACTAATCGTGTTTTGAACGCAAAATGGTAACAATTTGTGGTTAAATTTTAAAAGTATGACAAAAAACGTGGCACTTACGTCTTCTTGCAGTGGGTGTAGATTTTAGACGACCGTTTTGAAACGCTTTTTTAACTTGATCAAAAACATATTCCAAGTAATAGAGAACACGTCGATAAAGTACAATTTGTTCAACAATTCTAAAAGCCAAATTAAAAAAGTAATTTAGTGACCACGAATTGGGGTCTAAAAATTTGAGGTGAACATATAAAGATTACATTCTTGTTCATTATTAAACATAAGGACAAAAAATTGCGACAATACTAGCTTAAGGCAGAGCTGGTAGGTAGCTGGTAGTGGAATCAGGGACACGCTTCACGTTCTATGCGAGACTCGTCAGCTAGATGAACCTGTAACCCAGATTTGATGTTCTCTCTGGGATTTGAATCCAGTGTGATATGTGCTACTCGTACGGACAGTTATAGGTAGCATTTATCAGGAATTGAAAGTATGATTCTTACGGATATAACAAGAAAATGAGGAGAATAGAAAAGAAAAAAGAAAGTAATGGACATAACAACAAAGATAGAAGGACGATGGAGTTATAAGTGACAACTCAAGGAAGATGTGCTAATAGTATACTTGATGCATTGTTTTCATATTTTACAAAATCGGCGTGTGATTTTCATGATAGAATAATTTGGTTTACTGTGAAAAGCTTCGTTCATTACATTCCTCTTCGTCTTGAAATTCGAACAATCCAGATTAAAGTTCTCTTGATATAACGACAACATCAAAGCAATCAGCATAGGATGCACAATCACCTGCTTCGGTCTGGGCACCCGCGCAGTATCACAGCCCACACAAAAATCAATTGACTTGTGTAGCGCATATGTATGCGGCGCCCCTTTGTACTAATATTTATGTGTTCAAATGAATAAATTTAGGTTTAGCGTTCATACTCTAATCCCGTTTTCAAAAGGCTATTTTAGTCTAGTGTTACTTCAAATTAGATTTTATTTCAACCTTAATCATCAACCCCATATAAATTGACACCAATAATATGAGTAACCACACACAATTTTATAAGCTGGATTCTGTGCAATAACCGTGATCAGTGGTTGTAGATACGCATTTTGTTTTTGGTTTTTTGAACTATATTAATCTTTCCCACTATTATTACCACCATTATATTATTTCGGCACTTTTGTTATTCATCTTGAAATAGCAGCTTCGTATGAAGTATATTTGTGTGAGGCTCTATGCTGATTATAATTAGCTCTGTTTGACTAAACTTTGAGATTTATACTCTACCATAACCCTAACTCAAATCGAATTAGGTAGTTGACATATATAATATCTGAACCACTAAGACAAATTTCTAAACACGGTATCAACTAAGAACACAGCAATCAAAGCAATTTTAGACGATTTAACAACAACAAAAATACTCCATACATTTTAATTTACATTGGGAAAGAGAAGAAAAGTGGTAAGAACGAAATAAATCAGATCTATTCAGGCATTCATTTAGTGAACTAATTCATGACACTTTTTTAGATGCTTCTATGTTTACTTCAAATACTATAAAAATTGTCCTTAAATTGGGGTTATCATTAACATGAGTGTCACTTTTTATTTAGCATAGTTTAGTGACAATAAGTGCATAATAAATACTGTTTTCGACTGTGAATAGCATAATTGACAAATAAGTTGATTTAGAATGGTTAATCGGAAAAGAATTTCTTAGAGTTAATTCAGCTAAACTTGTATAATCATTTAATATTTGATGTAATCTGTAGATTATTCTGCTTAGGTGTAATTTAAATTTTAGGGTCAGACATGGAAATTTTAGGCTTTGAATAAAATAGAATAAGAAGTTTGGATCTTTTTAAACACCATCACTAACAAAACGTTCCTTTAGCAAGTTGGAATGTACAAACCAAAACGTGGCAATAGTCCATAAAAAGTTATTGACTGTTGATTTCAGCCATGTTGGTAGACGTCGACTAGATGGTTGGAGTCGGTGTGATAACGCCGATGATTGGTTGGACACATTAGGTAACATTGATTCCAAATAAGTCACCATTTTCCATATCCGTTTACTTCTTATTTTCCTATCGATCTTCGACTCTAGTATTCCTTCATAAATACCTTTTCCACTGTCTTTTTGAACCATATTCTCAATGTTCAAACTTTTGCATTATCATTCCTACCATATTATTTTGATTTCTTTAATTATTCATCTAAATCGTTTCATTTCATCGTGCTTATATAGTATGACGACTTTGGTTGACCACATATGTACCGAGCTAGCTCTGTGTTGATTCTAAATGACTATGACTGACTTTAAACAAATGAAAAAACTAGTGCCATCTGAAGAAAAAGAAGTTGATGAAAACATGAAAAACAAACAATATTTACAACAGAAATTAGAACTACCAAGAGTATTACCGTCCAAAGTAATAATACTAAACCACTGTATTTATGTAGTTTCGAAAGAGATACCAATTTCATGAAATAGTTGGATCATAAAACTTAACCAAATGTGAATAAAATTGAAACTAATTGTTCAATTCACAAAAATATATGCACGTAGTTGTTAGAACTCTTTACTCGAATCTCATTACGTAACATACCTTTGAGCTTCAGACACGAATTTCAATGCAGTGGATGATGCTTGTTGACAATTTTTGCTTGAATCCTGTTCATCATTATTATCATTATTACTATAACTGCCAACACAATGATTATTATCAAGACTATTAGTATTCGACGAACATTTAGTCTGTTGATTGTCCAGCTTAACTAGTGATACACCATCATTAGCAACCGAAGGATCTGTAGTGGTTGTTTTACTATCATTATCTGTATTTACAACACGTGTTGGAGTACAATCAGCTAGTGCAGATGCTCGACGTTCAGCTAATTCTGCTAATAATTCACACAATTCTAGGACCATTGTAATTTTCTTAATTTCTTCATTGTGTTCGGACTATTTAATTAAATAATTTATAGAAATCAATAAAAATGGATATTCTAATGTTGACTAAAAACAAAATTATCAATAATGTAAGAAAGTCTAAAGACAAAAATCCCAACTACTTCCGTTTTTTTTCTGTTATTTCAAAGAAAGATAATTTTACCGGCTGAAATTATGCGTAACGTTCCAAACGTTGAAAAAGTGCGTGATATTAATTAGTTTCAGTCATTTCTTTTTAATTTAATGAGTTTTACTACAAGCCTCTAAAGTTAACTGCAACTGTTTATCATGAAAATGTCAGTGTAATGCAGTAAAACATGCCAGGTGGTAATGGTTACGAGTTGAAATGGAACCCCTAATGATATATATATATGATAAGAGTTCAAAAAAGGTGATTCGACTAGTGAAATACATAGCAATGAGTGCTATAGTTGACAGATTTATCTTAATTCTGGATTACGATTCAATTTATAGTTGACTTATCTTTTTAGGAGAAAACGATACACACACTTAGTGCAAAGTGCTTCTTACCTCCCAAGAATTCATTTTCATACCACAAATAACTTTTAAACGAGAACTGGTGAGAAACATTCCAGCTAAATTTTTGAGTTATTAGCAGCAATTACATTTAATAATTTGTTAACAGAAGGGATTTGAGATTATTGAGTTTCAAAGTTTGCATTACGAACTGACCCTCGTCAGGCAACCGTTAAAAACTAGGAAGCTCTGGACAGCTGCTTCATCCTAGTATAAGACTAATCATCAATGAGCAACCACAACTCCGTTGGGGATAGAACCCAGAACCATTAGGTGTCTAAATGGGAGCTCATAGTTATGACAACTAAGTTGGTATCCAATTTTTCAATTTCATAATTTCAGATAATTCGAGATATTGCTCGATCATCAACTGTTCCCACTGGAGATATTTGCTTCATCATGGATATGAATAGACTCTTCTGTTCAGAGGCTTTCAATAAAAAAACTGTAGGAATTACCTTACAAAGCTTTTGGTTTCCAATGACTGTCTAAATTTAGTAAGTGATGTAAACCGAAAAACAACATAAGAATACCATACACATAGTTCCCTTTATCATTTTGAAAAGAACAAGAACAAAGATTCTAGCAGAATGTTTGTTCTTTCTTTTTTCAAAATAAAAAATTATTAGAGAAAAATGTGTTTCAGTCGTTTTTATTCTAAAAAGGTTGAATTTATAAGCATATAACAAATGGATTATTGAAAAAAAATCTATCGAATGAACTGCTAACCTCCATTAAAATTTCATCTGAAAATTCTGCCGCTTCCCACAAACCACCGGATGTTAAATCATTCTCAAAATTTCTACCTGTAGCTAAGAAAAAAGAATAAACACAATGACTAAATAAACAAATAACCAAAAGAAATCCTGTCTATAAATCTAAAAGATAGGAGATTCTAAAAGAATTCATTGAACGACAGATATACGCACAAAAAAAGGGTCCAGTAGCTATAGCTATAAATATATATAAATTTAGGAAAAGAATTAACCATAATAGAAATCCTTAGTTTAAAAAGTTCAATTGACAGGGTTTTACAATTTTTGGAAGCTTAATGCATTTTGAAGCCCTTGGATTGAAACTCAATAGAAGATAAATTTGAACAATACGGAAAGCACTCAGAATGAGAAAATAGCAAGTGATAAAAAATTCTTGGTTTGGCAAAGAATGTACCGTTGTGCTGCTCAGTCAGTAACAACGTAGAACTTCGTACGTACGTACATCAGTTCGAGTTGCCACATCACATTAGCACAGAGATGCAGTGGTCGATTCAAATCCCGTAGTGGTAGAGGTAATAAGAGTATAAGCAGTAATCGGGAAGATTGGGGTTTGGAAATGTTATTTAAAGAGTATAATCCAGTGAAATAAATTTGGGAAGAGAAAAAAAAGACAAGGAGGACTTAGGAGATCAAACTTTGAGAGAACACAAAGAGTGTATGCACCTGCGTCATTGCAAACGATTTTGAGCCATATCATTCAGGGTCTCTAACCATCGGTTGCTATCATCTCGCGGTCCCCAACCAGGTAGTCTACACCTACCAACATGACTCAGTCCACTTGTCAGTGACTCCATGGACTTGTGCTATGTTTTGGTCTGGCCGCCCCTAGCTTTCTTCCAACCTACTCCTATACCACTGAACATAGCACGTCGAGGTAATCGGTGGTTGGGTATACGTAACACGTGTCCCAGCCATCTCAACTGATGAAGCTTCACTACGTCATCAATTGATTTGCCATTCTTACCTTGTACCCGTTTCCTAACAACTGCGTTACTTACTCGATGGTCCCAGGATATGCGAGCAATATTTCGAAGACACCTACGATCAAATACTAGTAACCTACGGATATCCTCTACTCTTACCGGCCATGTTTCACTACCATAAAGTAGGACGGGAAGAATTGCTGCGCAGTAAACACGTCGTTTGGTTGATAGACGGATATCTCGCCTTCTGTATCCGTGCTGAGATTTCGTCAAACACCAGACCACAAGGGCTGATGAGACTCCCATGATAAGTGAAGCGGTCGACACGCTCAATTACTTTACTCCCTATCATTAGTTCGGGTGTCAATGCAACCCAATCCTGAAGCAACATTTTACATTTCGAGAGGGAGAATCGCATCCCGAACATGCTTGCATTGTTGCTTAGAGTGGTCATAAGACTCTGAATTGCTGCTAATATTTTTAAAGCGTGTATACGAACTAAGAATTGTGCATGCACTAGTATATGACACCTGATGTGCAAGGGTTAACCAAGCTGTTTATAGATTAAATTGAAACAGGTATACCATGATCTGAAGACGTGAACAGAATGACTGAATGTTAACCAATACATATTAAATTTTTCTGGAAGTATGATATGACGTCCAAGAATTAGGATTGACAATCAGGTCCTAATTGATTGTAGAGTAAGTGTCCTACAGACACCAGTAACTGTTGGAGTGATCCAGAAAATTGCTTGCAAAAGACAAGCAAGCATCAGGAAACACTAAGAAGCGTTTCGTCCAATCAGCGTTCACTTGGAGTCTTAGCCAAAAATATCAAGGAAGCGAAACGTCACATGCAGAGGCTCTGATTGGCTGGCTGCTACACTGCTACTATGTTCACTAGCATTCCAGAATCTTCTAGCAACCCAAGGACATTTAAAATATTATAAAAACCCTGTATTTTCTGCATTAAAATGAACCTTGGAGTAAACTACTTCTCGTATACTTTGAGTCTTCTCTCTCGTGTTCAGGTCGCTGCATAGTTCTAGTTTGGGGGTTACAGAATAGCTTAGGAGATGAATAAAGCGTTCAATCAGCAAGACTTATCAGTAAAAATTTATAATGTTTATTTTATGTTCATATTTTGTATATATGCATATCATTTTACTACATAGTAAAAACCTATTCCTTTAGCTAGTGCTTATATTTTAAATCACAATTGACTAAAAAAAGCTATTTTATGAGCACTCGACACTCAGTCACATTGTACCATTCCATATCGTTTCATAGATCAGTATTCTCTTATTTTATTAATCGAAAAAAATGTTTATCTAATCGATAAAAGAATGAAATTGAGATATTTGTATTTCGATGAACAGACTACTGCTGCGGGCATGTATAGAAGTTTTCCTACTAATACAGGAAAGAAAAATATTGCATTACTAGAGAGGTTTCAGTTTTAAAAGTCTGTTTATTTAAAAATTTATGTGTTGATTTTACTTATGCTATGTTTAAAGAGACTACGAACGTAGACTCGGTGACACAATAACCAATTCAGCTAACTAATCCGACGCGTCCCAGTTCCGTTAACTAGAGAGAGAAGTCCAAGTTCAGAAGAGGGAAATATATTCCACAAGCAGTCAGAAGCACGAACAACAATAAGCACAACTCAAGCGTATATATACAGCATAAAAATGTCCTTGTAAAACTTTACAAAAGAACATATTAAAAGAGGCAGCAAGCCTATAGTATTTAAGATCCTCCCAGGTGACATGAAGGTGAAAATGGGTGCTTTCGGAACGAAAACAAGAAATTAAACTTTTTTTAAAAAAAGGATTACAAAAATGAGACATTTACATAGTGAGTATTAGGGATTTAACATTCCTAACAACAATATATTCAAGCATAAAATTTTATTGGAACAAAATACACACTATATTTATCAGTAAATGATTGACAGCAATTTCCTACAAAAACTGTTTGTGTTTACCAATGATATGGGATTTAGTATCCCAAACAATAGTAATTTTAATCGTTACTTTATTTAATGTACGCGAATACTGGTGCAGTGGAACACACTACACAAATAAGGAAATGTAATTGTAAAGTGATAGAAGGGTGTGAAGTTGGAAAACCAAAATAAGAAGTGGGCGAGAATCGTTTATAGTAGTCATTAAGTTTAAACATTACTAGGAAGTTTGTGGTAGATAACCGAGGTCATGTAGATAACATAAAATACCATTAGAAGAAATAGGGCTCAGGTATGTTCACTAGTTTCATCTATCCAGTGGTTGAGAAAAAGGTTTGAGAATGCATAGATAACAAACGACATTGAATGAAAACCGAGAATAAAGTTAGGTTTAAATGAATCACTTGCGATTTATAAATTAAATGTTTTACAAATGGGAGTCATGAAGTGATTCATATCTAATTGGCCTGGCGCACCTTTATCAATGTTCTTACAGATATACAGGAGAAATATACTTCATCGCAAAATAGTAAAAAAAATACACAACTAACCAAAATAACAGGTTGTTTTACCTAGTCATAAGTCTACAGCCTGATTGATATATGTATTTCAAAATGTTGTCCTTTTTACTTTTCTTCTTCTATATGTTTCACTTTGTCGATTGTAATTCAATGACTAAGTGTAACAGACGCATAATTTTTATTCACGAAATCGTGAGTTAAAAATCAACTCAGGTATATTTCAAGTGAATAGCCCTGAATTATAATTAATTCTATCATAATAGTGTTACTTATAATCCAATAGTAAACAAAACATATAAATCGATCCGTTATTAAAGTGTTTTAGGAATTTCGAAAAAGCACCAGCATGGATAATGTTGTTTCCAGACAGTAATAATAAACAAAAATTATGGTCTACGAATCCACGAATTATTATTATGGTCTGCTATTCAATTAGTGTACACATTGAAATATTCCAAATATTCAAAACGGTAGGGATGGTAACGATGACGATAACAGCAATGATAATAAAAGACTGTATGATGACCGATAAAACTAAATATTTATTCGATTTAAGCTTACTAATTGAGAATATTATTAAGAAATACTTCCGTGATTATGGGTTGGTGCTTTAATAACTTTACAAAAAAGGTGATAAACGTCATTGTACATTATTTTGATCACACCAGATTAAAGTAGGGTAATTTAATTTATGAGGTTTTGCACAAAAATGAAAGCTTACCGATAACAGGATAAACACCATCTACACCTTGAACAGCGATAGTTTGTAAACCAGAAGGATGAATAAATTGTCTGTTGTTAGTTTGGTAAGTAATTTGTTGTAAGGTAGTTCCAGTTTTACTCAAATTTAAATTACTCATCATAGGTTCCATATAGGATATTTTCGGTTCAGTATTGTGTTGAGGAAGAGATGACAAGTTCCCTTCATTAATTTGAGTTCCATGAGATCTATCTTCTAACAAAAGAATTTTCGACAAAGACCATAGAGAAATAATCGTCAAAATGTTGTCAAAATGAATAAACTAACTTTCGTTACAAAATAATTTTATAAAAACGTAGTATAGAAACCAAAAAATGGATCATATATATATAAGACGTATCAGAAATTACGAGATTATTGAGGCCGTTTGGAATTGGTGTACCACACAAACCAGAAAAATCACTTCAATCAATCCTATGCAAACCAAAGGAGGAAATAAAGAAAGAAGAAAAACCAGACATCATCTACAAAATAAATTAATCCAACTGCAAAAACCACTACATTGGACAAAACGGACGACCCCTTCATCTTCACCTGCACGAACATCAATTAGCAGTCAAACACCATGACATATCCTCACTTAGATCAATGCATCTGGACAACTGTGGACATACATTCAACTGGAAAAATTTTGAAATCTTGGATGGAGGTAATACTAAGAGCATCAAGGAATTTTTAGAAGCTTGATATTCAGGTCAAACAGTAATCAACAAACGCATCGAAATCGATCTAATCTACCAACCAATCAGAAAAACCATGGACAAATATAGGACTAATGATCAGATCAAAGGGAGATACAATCAAAATAAAGAGGCAGACAACGACAGGTTAAGGGTCAACAATAACCAACCGAGGTAGAGGTCGACAGGACTAGCTGTGAGTCGTAAGTGGAGAAATTCGAACACTTCACTTCTACCTGACGCTTGTGATGACGATGTTGTTCAGAAGAATAATGGAAGCTCCATGACCAAACCATCCAGCTCAGAAAACAAAACTCCACCTAAATCATACACTTGAGCTACAAATCCTCTCTACCATCTCAAATAGCATTACATACACACACTATTTGCCAACATTATATGATTGAACTTATTACTATTCATACGAATATCTTAGTATTTCTTTGAAATCAATTTCTCTTGAATTGGATAGTAACTAACAGTAGAATGCAAAACATCTATTTTGTTATATATGTAACTCTTATTTGTACATCCAATTAAACACAAAAGTAATGAAAGTTTTAATCTGTTTCTTAATAAAATTCAACTAAAATATGTCAAAACAAAGAAATTGAGAGGAAAATATTTGTTTTCAGTCGGTTAATTATCAAAGCTCTATATTAAAATATAAATTTTACAAGTAAATATAAAATCAATATTAAATAAATGGTAGTGAGTCAAGTTAACAATATCATAATCAGTTAGTAACAATTTAGAATAGCAAATAAAAATAGGATAATCATATAACAATCTACAATTTAACATCATAGAATGACTTCAGTTAGACAACTAATGAAAACTAAGAAGCATTTGTCAGCAATTTCATCTTAGTATCACACTCCGTATCAATTTGAGTTTATGAGCCCACTAGGTGGCTGAACTCAGGACCTTCAGACCTCATGATGAGTGCTTACATAACTTTTGAACAACTGAGTTGACGTCCAACGGTTGTCAATTTTAAGTTCAACTAATTCATGATATTGTTCAGCCATTACCTGTCACCATTAGAGATATTCGTCCCATGTTCGATATCTATTGGCTTGTGGAATAATTATGTCACCGTAAATCTAATATATGGTATTTTGTGCATATTTGACTGAAAGCTTGTGATTGTTAACTATGCTATATTGGTTAATGTTAAACTACAACATTCGAAACTAACTGTTACAGTATAATTAAATAGATGTGTTCAAAATTTAGGTGATAAAAAAATACTTAAAGTCAGTTCATTATATCTTCTTTGCAGATGAAAAATAGAAATGACCTGGTAAGTTTTTTATCACTAACAAAGTAGGTGACAGTATTAGGTTTTATTAATCGAAATAAGGAGTAAAGCTTTGGTGATTTGCCTTGAAAACACCTAATTCACAGAGAAATATTTTCATTCATAGTAGCCTATAATAACGACATAAATTTTTCGAAATTAAAATTTCTTGTTGAAATCTTAAGCTAAAATGAGTTAAGATCGATAACGATTAACCTGTTTCTTGGTTAATCTATCATGAGTTAGAGTCTAACATTCAATAACTCATATAAAATTCAAAGAGTAATACATAGGGAACTATCAAAATTTATTGGATCTTAATGACAACAAATTAATAGATCCAATAATTTGAACACACGAATCACTACTGTACTTCCCAAAATATCTATTGGAACTAGACATTTACTATTTAACAGTTTATTCTAGTACAACAACTGCTTAAACGAATCTACTAAGCCTGAGACACAATAGAAGGATAAAAAGTCTAATGTGATTAATCAGATTTTCTCTATAAACATTAAAAAAAGGTTAAAAACAGTTACTGTTAGTAGAGTAATACTTATCATTAAAGCTAAAATTATTTGTATGGTAAACAGAGTTATTTTTTAATGAAAATTATCCATTTTATCTGCATAAAAGATAATGAAGTAAACTGATATTTCAAAATAATAAAATAGCATTTTACAGGATCAATGTCATGTGAACGAACAGTATCAGAGGGGGGAGAGAGCGGGAAAGAAAAAAATTGATTTTTTGTAAAATTTGGTTAGCCGAAATAACATCAAAGAAAATGCAAGTAAGCCAGAGAGAGAAAGAAAAGAACATTTGTAACTATTCTTTAAAAAAACATTCACTTCACTAATCTGTTGCTGAGTTTTTCAAGACCATGACAGTTTTTGTACAGAACATGATAACAGTATTCATACAAAGATAATATAGTAAAAACCAATTAATCACAAATTTTACTGAAGCGTTCATTGAACAACAAGAAAAACGCAAACATAAAACAATTTTAATCACCAATAGAAATTAACTATTAATCATAATTAATACAAAAATTAGTTGACAGAGGATAATAAATAAACAAATAAATAAATACTAACTTGTATAATCAGTTGATCCCTTGTTTGGTTCTGATATAGGTTGAGTATTATACTTGTGACTAGTTGGAGAATTTCGAGAATTGACTGGCAGCTAAAGGGTAAAAACAAAAACTTTGTCAAGGCAATAAACACATCTGGACATAAACATTATTAAGGCCATGAATTATTCTGTTGTTGCTATTTTGGACTGTATTTTGATTAGTTGGGATAATTCATACCCTTACTAATAACGATATAAATACAACACCAGTTTAATAAATCAGTGGCTATACGGAGTCACTAGCTAAGTGAACAACCAGTGGAAGCATGAAGTTATGGATTTTGAAAACAATAGAATACATCCCACGTGAACGACAGAATTACGTTGATATCAAAGGAAAAGCAACAGTAAAAGGTGAATGTATATTGTTTGAACACAAACATGATTCACAAATGATTTCAACTTAATATATGTAGTAAGGTTAATTACTGTCAGCTTCGATAAACACAGGAAACTTTTACACAATAAAACACTTCCATAAAAGTATAAAATTTGTTACCTTTATACATAGGGTCTATAAGTAACCCTAAGTAAACTTTAGTAAATAAATCCGCACAAATATTACGAATCAAGTAAAGTATATAAACTACTTGACACAATATAAGTAGATAAATGAGTTATACACAAAAAGATTTTCGAACAAGAGCAAAGTGCAGGATGAACTCGAACAGAAACTAGTGGTTAGTTACGTAAAGCGACATTTATTACAATTTACTAACGGTACTTATCGTAGTAATAGCATGTGCTTCAAACTACACATTTTGAATGCAGTTATTAGATGACTTAGATAAATAATCTTGAAGCTCTATTCGCATGATAATAATGCACACAATATAAACGGTATTTTTGTGGTTACAAGTTACCAGTTGATGTCAGTTCATGAAAGTCTCTTTTAAATGACTGAAGAAAACAACTTTTAGAAAAGTTTCCTATTAAAATAAGTAATCAAAGGAGAGAATTGCATATTATCATGTACCTACCTGATTTAAGTACTGATCAGCTAATTTATTATTTACACCATGTGGAATTTCGTTTGTATTTAAGAGAGTGGGTGAAGAGTTGCGATGATTATCATTCAGTAATTGATGATATCGCGTATCCGTTGTATTTGTACCAATAGTTACATCTGGGAGTGGACCAATATCTGTCATACCTCTACGTTGAAGATTATTATTATTTGTAAGATATGCTCCAGGATTACGAACAATTCGGCCAACGTTACTCATATGTGAACTGGGTAAAATAAGAGAAAAGTATTAAAAATAAGTACCTAATGGTAAATCTGTCTTATTCAGGTACACTGAGGAAATTTTTAACCGGTTAGTTATTTACTAGTATATGGCTTTGACTCCCAGGAATTAGGCAGCTAGAAATTATAATTAGCCCTTACATAACAAATATAACCACAGTTGATTACAAAAATATTGTTCCTGTCATTATAATCATTATTAGTACTCACTTCTACCGAAAAATAAATTATTTTAGCATATCATCAATAAAATAGCTATAATTACAAATATTAATGAAAAAAATATTCATTGAAATTGACCTACAGTGGATCAGTCGATTGATTTTGTTGACGGAATCGTTCACGATCTATACGTTGAACTTCTTAACCGCACAGTCGGCAACAACAAAAATACATAAAAGGAACGGAAAAAGAAGCTAATGAAATACAGTGTAAGAATATGAGAACATAAAAATTCTTCAAGAAATTGAATATTAGTAGTAATACTATTAGTAGACTCCATACATCCAGCATCTGCCTATCTATCAATTCATTTTTGAGTAGCTTCTGTGTTCTTTAAAACCGTTATTTTGTTTCATTCGAGGAAAAAATTGTTACTTAACTGTAATTTAAGGTGCTGAAATTCAATTTCTAAAATCATCATGAAAAAACCCTACTGAGGAGACACATAGTATACACAATATTCAATTTACAATCGTTAGTCATTTCTGTGGAAAGATAAAGAAAAATATTGAATCGACAAATTCAGTGTTTTGATAAACATAAAACTTTTCGTGTGAGTCAAACCAAGCTCAATCGACACGAAATGAAACTAACAAGATGAATACCAAAAGAGTTTAAATAATTGTAGTAACACTCACAGTGAAAAAGATTGGACATTAGAGAATGTAATTTGAAAAGAAATGAAAATGTAAGTATGAAAGGACATAACTCTATAAATTACTTATTCCTAATCCAGCCAATGTGATTGAGGATAATTAACGTACCCCAGACGTACACCAGATACAAAAACAAACTTACAACTTATAAAACTAAATTTATATAAACGACAGTTATTTCTTTTAGGTATAATTGGCTGTTAACTAATACACATGAATATTATGAGATAGGTTTACCTGAACCATCTGAATTCACAATAACATAATCTTCAAGAGGTGGTTCACCATATTCCATCTCAGCATTCATATACACTCCACGTTGATCAAATCGATATGCAGTTGATCTTTGTTCATCTACATTAAATCCATCCTGTCTTGTTGGTACTGATGGTCGATAATTGTTTGATATATACTGTTGTTGATGATTAGAACTATAAAAGTTAGTGTTAAGATTATTTTGATGATTATCTGTAGGGTATTTATTAGAATCAATATGCATAAAATCACGTGGTTTTACTGAAGGCAGTTTAGGTAAGTTATTTTGGTCACTAGATGGTGATGAACTGGATGCATCTAATTCATCTTCAATGTATTCATCGACGGTAGTTTTCGTCATTTCATCATCTATATCGTCTAGACCATAGCCTGGATCATCATAATTATTGAAAGGTATAACACCAGCTCCGGTATGTTGTGGATAGAATGGACTGAAATCACCTGTTGAGTGTTGTGATGATGGTGATGATGAAGTTGCTCCAGATAAAGGTTGTTGTTTGTTGCTTGTATTATTTGACCAATGTGTTGGATTAGTCCATTCACGAGGACCGTTTGATGAACCAGGTGGATTATTAGATGCCTGTGTATATACGAAAAGTATACGTTTAAAAGAAATGTAATACAGGATATAAGACAATAGATGGTAATTGTGGTGAACATTGGTAAATAAAATAATTGTTGCATTAGTAAGTTTTACTTACTTATTGAGGTTTTGATAATATTTTAATGATATTTTTTCTAATATCATAGATATTAAATTGATTTCGATATATATATCACCGAATTATCTATGTAAAGTTAAATAAAATAGTGAGGGAGAAGTGTTCTCTTTATGAAGATATTTTCTTTCATGAACTTATATCGACTGAAGAATCAATCAAGATTTGGCAGTAGTAGACAATCATTTTATTTTAGTTTGAAATTTCCCAACGATCCATACCTTCGATTTCATATAAGAATGAACACAGAAATTTTAAGTTTCACAGTGAAGAAGATACTTTTAGAATATCAAAACAGACTCCAAAGGCGCACATTTTTTATCTCGACGGAATGGCAGTATAATACACCACAAACATCTCAATAATAATAATAATAATAATAATAACCTCAATCAATAAGTAGCACCAAAATCGAATCGCGAAGATTTATTTATAAACTATGAAGAATAAAGTCAATAAATTTGGGAGTGATTAAATTACCCAGCAATGATATTTCACAAAGATCGCATTATATCACAAACTGATTGAAGCTGGAGGCTGGACCATCGAAACTTGGTCAATAGCATCGTAGATACCACAATAATTAATGATCATATTTTCAATTTTCAGACTAGGATTAAATGATCATTCACTTCTAAATGGTTTTCCTTAGTTCTTTAATTGATACCAGTGTACGTTGTGACAACTATCCCCAGATATACAAATATGACTAAATGGCTAGTGAATTTAACTATCTATGCTATATTGATAGTAGTGAAATTGTTGTTGTACAGGCCACATTGTCTTGGTTGCTTTTTCATAAGCAATTAGAATTATGGAACTGGTGAATGTATTACCATTTATTTATAAAATCCATGCTTACATGTATGATACCATGTTTGCGATGAATAACTAAAATAATTTTTATTTAATATTTAACGTGTTATCTGACTTTGAACAAAAAGGATAAATTGTCTTAAATTCGACTGTTGTTTTTTACTGAATAAGGATCGGTAATGCAATGAACGACCTATGGAACGAGAGGATTTATAAAGTATTGGGACCGGAGCTACTTAATTTCCATCAATATTGTACATATTTTATCGCATTATCGCTATAGACAATACAAAGACTTCGTTGTTTGTTTGTAATATTGATTGACTATGAATACACTGGATTTATTGTACTATTTAACACAAAAGCAGTTAAGATGTAGACTGGTTATTAGGTAAAAACAGAACGCTATAGTGACTTCCATGTACAAAATAATGACGCGAAAATCTAAGACTCATCTGTGTAAACAATTAGTTTAATAAAACGGAGAAAATATGGAGATATAACTAGTTTTATTTATTTATTTATTTGAACACATAAATATTGGTACAAGGAAGCACCAAATACATATGTGCCACACAATAATAATGACAATGGGAAGAGAAAAGGAGAGTAAGGTGCGTGTAGAAAGAAAAAAAGGAAAAATAACGACCACAAATTAATGCATGGCAATGAAATAGTGATAATAGTGGGGGAAAAAAGATACAATCAGAAAGAATTCTTTCAGTTACTAACATAGTGTTGCCACTGGATGTCAGCAATCCTTCGGAGACAACGATGATCGAACACAGAGAGTCGTCTAACGTCCTCAACCTGGAGAGGCCTGGTTTCACAAGCATAGAGCAAAACTGCTCTCACCGACGCGTTGTAGATCCGACCTTATACAGCCAGACAAACATCACAAAGCGGCCAAAGATGGCCCAGATTGGCATAAGCCACTCTGGCTTTCATTATGCGTGCATTAATCTCATCACTCACACCCCCGCCAGCACTTATGTAGCTACCCAAATACACGAACTTCTTGACAACTTCTATCTGGTCACCATCCAGGGTGAGTACAGGATTAGATTCCTGCCGGTCTTGTAAAAGTACTTTGCACTTGGAAAGTGAAAAGCACATATCGTACCAACGGACATTGATTGCCAACTGATTAAGAGCGGATTGCCTGGTTTGGGTATTAACGCACAGTAAGACAATATCATACACATACTCAAGGTCGATAAGTCTTTCTCTAGGCAACAGGTCCACACCGCCATTACTTACATCCATCAGAGCTGTTTCCAGAATGCATTTCACTGATAACTGAGAGGATAGAGCTTTTTCCAGTTCTGAAGTGAAGATTTGACAAAGCGGCGGCCTGCTTGAATATCTGGGTTACCTGTTCCTGCCATCTAATTATTTCAAGAAGTTATCTGTTTTTCATTTTGTTTTAACCTCTCATTATGTCCATTAATCGCATAACCTATAAAGGCGCGTTTATGAAAAGCCTACAATCTTTCGCTGCACAAGTTACAAAAAAGTACTATAAAAGACATCGTGGTGGTTAGCAACATGCGTTAAAGAGAATGAACATCAATCGTATGTCGATTCTCGAGCTGCTAAATTCTAACTGCCGATTACTAATCAACAAACTAGACTATCTTCAATTCCTACTAAGTCGAAATACGCATCGTAATTGTAGTGTCGTCACAATTCAAGAATCTTGGACAAATGATTCACAGGACGACTGCCTAGCATTACTACGTGATTGCAAAATTTATCGTCAAAATCGATCAAACAATAAAACGAAGTGTAGCGACGGTGTAGTTACGTTTGTAAACGTGAACTGGTGTCGATCTTCGTTTGCGTGTTTCAAGTTTTCAAATGAATTTATCAACTGTCTAACTCTAAGTTGTCGTCCATAACACCTGAATAGATACAAATATGTTTATGTTACCAATATCTACGTGACTCCAGACTGCACATCATCTGCGCTATCTGTTTTCGCTGATGAATTCACTGAGTTCTCTGTTACTGCCTTCAGTGATTCACTTTCACTTGTATGTGGTGATTTCAATTCATATGACTGTAGCTTCCTTACGTCACTAGGTCACCAAAATGTGGTAGATTTTCCTACCCCTTGGGATGCTCATTTAGACTTCGTTTTCATTAATGATGTGGGTATATATGTGACTCGTAAACGTGCTACATTGTCTAGCTCGGATCACTGTATAATTCGTGTTTTACCTAAAGTACATGGAAAGCATGGGAAGAGTATACTCTTACATCAAACCGAGAAAGTCAAATACAGGAATTACTCAGAAGAAAATATCCGAAATCTGAAAAACATGTTTCATACGACTAACTGGGAATTAAATACAGATGACTCACTGGAAATCACTACTGATGTTATGTAAGTATGTGGAAACTCCTTAAGAACTTACAGGTGACAGACAGATTAGGAGCGATAACCAGCTGAATGTTTGCGACTTAAATAATTCTTTTGTACGTCAGTCATCTGATGTAATGCTACCTTCATACACAGGTTTAAAGAATAGCTGTGTTCCTAGTTTCACTGAAACTGATGTCCGAAGATGTCTCCAGTCACTTAATTCATACCGATATTTACGACCTGATGGTATCCCAAACCTCCTTTTTTAAAAATGTGCTGACGTCCTATGTTATCCATTCACGACTTTCTTTAACAGATCCTTCTCATGTAATCTCATACCAAAAATGTGGAGAAAGATGAAGATAATTCCTGTACCCAAGAAAGTATCTGGTGATAAGAATGTGAAATTTAGACCTATTGCAATAACTTCACCCTTCCTCAAAACCATATAAAAATTATTGACACTTCCACTTCAGCCTGCGATAAACGAGCATATTGATCCGTATCAGTTTGCTTACAGATGCAAAAGAAGCACCTTAGATGCTGTTGATGTTCTGCATCATAATATAGTGTTCAACTCAGAAAAGGGTACAAAGTATGTTCGATGCGCTCTTCTGGACTATACTTCAGCTTTTGGTTCTATACCAAGACAACGTTTAATTAACAAGTTAATCAGCGTCAACACTGACAGCTGGGTAACCAACTGGCTATGTTCCTACCTCTCTGGAAGGGAATAGTACACTGTATTTGGAGGAAAGTGTTCAGAGTCTCTACTGTCTCATGAAGGTGTACCACAAGGAGCTGTTCTTTCACCTCTTCTTTTCTCTTTTTTCTGCATGATCTGCCATCTTCCACAGAAAACACTTATGTGAAATATGCGGATGATCTCACTGTATGTATGCCTGTCTCTTCCTCTTTACATCCCACAGAAATGAATGGGTTTTTGTCTCGTATTGATTGTTGGCCTGTTGGTATTGGTCTTACGCTTAATCCGTCTAAATGTGAAGCTGTTAATTTTAGCATGAGACATGAACAGCATCTAAACACCATTTTGAGATCCCATAATCCTTGTGCCATTGGAGACTCTTTCATAAACACAGTGTCGAAGGTCAATTATCTTGGTGTCACCTTTTTCTCTGATCTCTCTTGGTCTTCCCATGTTTTATTGTTATCAAAGAAGGTTTTCCGTCTGACCTACTGCATAAAGAGATTGCATGCGCTTGGGGTTACTCGTCATTTACTCTTACAATTTGTCAATTCTTGCATATTACCTATTTTTCTTTACTGTTGTCCATTATTCTTTCCCGGGCTTTTGAGAAAAGACTTTGCTATATTGCGAAGAGTGCTGAATGCAGATAGCAATGTGTGTGGTGAATCTTTCGAGGTCGTAAGTAATATGGTTGTGGATAGACATCTAAAGTCATGCAAAATCCTGGCAGGTCTTATTTTATCAGTCAGTCAGTCAGTAACAACGTAGAACTTCGTACGTACGTACATCAGTTCGAGTTGCCACACCACATTAACACAGAGATGCAGTGGTCGATTCAAATCCCGTAGTGGTAGAGGTAGCAAGAGTATAAGCAGTAATCGGGAAGATTAGGGTTTGGAGATGTTATTTAAAGAGTATAATCCAGTGAAAGAAATTTGGAAAGAGGGAAAAAGGGACATGAAGAATTCAGAAGATTAGAGTTTGGGAGAACACAGAGAGTGGATGCACCTGCGCCATTGCAAACGATTTTGAGCCATGTCATTCAGGGTCTCTAACCATCGGTTGCTGTCATCTCGCGGTCCCCAACCAGGTAGTCTACACCTACCAGCATGACTCAGTTCACTTGTCAGTGACTTCATGGACTTGTGCCATGTTTTGGTTTGGCCGCCCCTAGCTTTCTTCCAACCTACTCCTATACCACTTATTTTATCAGATACTAACCATCCCATTCACTCTTATATTTCTCCTTGTATATCTTCTGGTAGAACGAGACGTAATCACATTAAAATCCATGCACGCAATCAAAAGCATAAAAGTTCTATAATACGTCACCTAGCAAATATACTCTGTGACGAACAGGTTGTTAGAGTTAACCTAGTCAATAACCTGCATTCTTAACATGTCTCTAATTTGAAAAGTTGTACAGTTTTTTCAGATTTTTTTAAACTTTTTTTCCCTTCTTTTGTCTTTTCTTCTGTTTTTGTGTAAAAAACTTGTTGAAATACCCTGTGCTGAGAATTTCTATGTTGTAGCAAAATATGATATTGAATAAAGCCATCAATAAAAAAAAGCTAAACACTAAAATAAAATAGTTCACATGAAACGCGATTTCTTCAAAACTAATAATGAAAAATTTGTAAACTAAATTATCGTAAGATCTTAGTAAACCATGGCATAAAAATGTTTGATATACGCACACAATAATATAACAGATTAAGTTTAAGAGTAAAAACTTCTTACTTTTCCTTGAGGTGTTTTATCTCTTCCACGATTACCATCTTGTGGAGCAAGATAATATGGGCCTTCACCAGTTCCTTGACCAAGAACAGTAATTCCAGAGCCTCGAACTGTTGGTCTGTTACGACTAGGTAGGGCAGGAGCAATAGATGATCGTGTTGCAGATGACTCTGGACCAGAACCAGCTTATGTGTATAAGAAAGACAATTCACACATTATTTCGAAATTTACATGAATTTATAATTAACACTTAAATGTTTTGTTTCATAGGTTTGTTATTAATTATCTATCAAAATGCAGGTATTTAGGCATAGAAATTTATTTTGAAGACAATTCTTGTATAAAGATCCAATTGAAGTACGGTTGATGCGGAATGTAACTTCACTTGAATAAAATCTCTCTATCTTTGTACAAAAATGTATACATTAACTGGTTATACTCATTTCTATGGTTACCAAAATACTAAGTTGAATATACATGAGAAATGCTACACATATTATTAAAAGTACTCATTAAATTTAGGCCAGTTAATTCAATGGTGAAAAAAAGGAACAGTATTATATGGCTAGCACAAGAACTTGATATTCAATCCTATTGTGAATATACATCTTAAAACACAGAAACAAACATCAAATAAAACGGTTTCTTTTGACAGAAAAAAAGACTGTCACAAAGTTAAAGAGAATTTTCAATTCAACTGATAAATCAAAATGAAATGCTTTGTAGAAAAATGATAATCATATGAGATCGAAAACTTTTTAAGAAATAACTTCGTTTATATTATTGAAATCGTGAGTCAATCTAAGTTAGACCAACATTGAAAACCTGGAAACATTGAACGGCCGTTTTTCCTAGTATGGAACTCCTCAGCAGTGAGCATTCACGATCTTGAGTGCAGGAATCCTGAATTCGGTCTCATGAGCTAACGCTTAACCCCTAGACCACTGAGCCGGCATCCAACGACTTTAATGTTTAGCTTCAACCAATCCACGTTCGGTGCTTCAAGGTTTTCAATGTTGATCTACCTTAGATAGGTTAACGATTTTAATGAAATCCAACAATCTCCACAACCCCATATAATGAGAACTTTATATATATCATAATTAAAATTAAAAAAATGAATGTGGCTAGCAGTGGAATGCAGGACACGTGTTTCTTCCTATCTGGGGCTCGTCATTTGCACGTACTTGCATCCCAGAGTTGATGTTCACTCTAGGACTCGAACTCAGTACCGTGTGCTTCAAACGCAATCGGGTTATCCACTTAGCTACTGAGTCCAGATAGCCCTTAGCTTGTGCAATGGGATGAAGTTTTAATTCATTTTTGTATTGTTTGTTTGAATCTCCCCATTGATGTTTATGACCGCAATTGCTTACATCTAAATGGTTTAAGAAAACAGTTATCAGACCATTTTTTTAGATTGTCTTGGTTAAAAGATAAATCTTTTCATACATGGATGGTGTACGAAAGCGAAGCAAACGATAGCAATGACAGAGTTCACATCGATAGCTTAAGATCATTCAAGATGTAAGAATCATCTGCTTTCCAGTTTGATTTAAATTAGTGAATGTTGTGATTATGAATAAATATGTGACTCGGTTGATAGCTGAATTTCATAAATTAATTAGTAGCGAAGTATTTCAATCGCTTGAAGGTTCCTCTGCTTCAAGTCCTACCATAATCCAGGTTCTCTTTCATTCTCAATCATTGTCTCGATATTATAAATAATATATGATAAATAACCATAAAAAGTATAAATCACCTAATACCTTAATAAAATTTCTTATCATATAAGTAAAATCAACAATCTAATAAATAAACAAAGATGGATAGAGGCTAGCAGTGGAATCCAGGACGCTCGTTTCGTCCTGTTTGAGACTCGTCAGCTGGATGTACCTGCATCTCAGAGTTGATGTTCACTCTAATAAATATGATCAAATATATGATCTTAATAACGACAACTTTTTTAAAAAGTACTCAATGTAATCTCATAAATTTGTCACAATAAATGACATTTACAGCAAAAGGGAATTCATAATTAAAGATTTTATTATAAAATAATCTTATTGTTAATCAATTAGATTGATTTGAAAATTTATCTAATGGTACAGTTAATAGAGAAATAACCAAAATGGTTAGACAACACCAGAAAAACGTCCCAACGAATATATAATAAAATTAATTTTTGTGAGAAGAAAACATTATTGAAAAATTGGTTATTAATAATAACCACAAGTGACCAATACGATCAGTTTGCTAAAATGTGTTGTTGTTTTTAGTGTAAGTGTTAACGATATCAACTAATCATTTCTGAATTTCAAAAGATGAAAGATGTCAATGATGTCCATTACTACTGTAGTGAACGAGAACCTAAGTAGAGAAAGCCAATTTATTGTTAAATGCAAAATTACACAGTGATTTCGGAAAATATGAATATCATACATGAAATACATCATTTGAACATCTTCCATCAGTTTTCATTTACATACTTCATAATTCTTACAATTCCGTTGTTATTTCAAATGCTTTCTGTTTTCCACCCCGTTCTCCTCCATTCAATCTTCCACTAGCAGGTATTCTACTTTCCGATTTCTGCTAAATATTACTTTTATCTGTCAGCATAAGCAGTATACACCACGCTATCACTACTGGTCAATGGGAAATCGTTGTCCAATAAACCGTAAATGGTATTATCAATTATTGCATTGTTTAAGGAATCACCTGTCGAATGTATTCCTAAATATCTTATGGAATAAATGGATTATGTTTAACAATGGAATTAAGGAAGTGTGTGCTGGATTTAACTACGCTCGATTAGCGATGTCCACATTGAAAACTCGATAATGCATCAAGTCAGTTCGTCAGCTACAAGTAGGACCAGGCACATATATGCATCGGTCCAAGTTGCCAAAAATCATTAGCACACCAAGATAAACAACTATCTCAGTCGATGAAGATTCACAATCCATCAACTGATTTACCATTATTCCCTAATACCGTGCGTTTAACCTCACTATTACTTAACCGGTGATCTCAGCAGATACGAGCAATATTTCTAAGAAATTTATGGTCAAATACTGGTAGCTTACGGCTATTTTCTACTTTTCATAGCCACGTTACGCAGCCGTAAAGTAGAACAGAACGAAATGCTGTGCAGTATACTCGTCCCTTAATTGATGGACCGATATCTCGCCCTCGCCATAGGTGACGTCAGTTGGCAAAAGTCAAACGAGGTTTTCGAATCCATGCTGAGATTCGTCAGACACCGACCACTTAGGGCTGATCAGACTTCCAAGATAAGTGAAGTTGTCATATGGACCAGCTGCTCATCCTCGTTTCAGATTAGCTATGGCCTACTTCAGTGTTCCGTCCAGGCTGTTTGGGAATGGTGGGTAGTTGTGGAGTAGCTGAAGGCCAGCTGAACTGCTCCTTAAAGTGCATCGTCCATCGTTTTAAATGTCTGGGCTGAGAACAAATAAATGTCGTCTTTTTCCGAGATAGTCTCGCTTACACTTAACTTCAGAACTCTAGTTTCTTTTATTAGCGTGATAAGCTGTCTGGTGGTACATACAGCCGCTGCCTTTCCCATCCCTTTTGCTTTCGTCGCTCACCACCGCTCAGGGTCGTTCCTTAGACTTTTGGTTAACCTAGATCTCATTTTCTATTGCACTTTATCGTTTTTGGAGTCAGATGGGGTTAGTTTACGAGAATCTATCAGTGCAATAAACTTAGTGGAAATCCACTGGTTTTTCGTGACCTTTTGGTTCACATCACTAATAGATGTCGCTGCTGTTTATACAACTGTTTGTATAAAATTCCAAGCAACGTCCGGGTCAGCTTCATTTTCAGAACTGCCTAGGTGTGACCTCAGTTGTTCCTGGAATCTACTTTTGGCTTTCTCGTCACTGAGCTCAACTCCAATCGGTCTTAATGTGGATTTTTCTGCGTCCAGTGAGGCGCAAACAAATGCGTGCTCGTATTAAAGCATGATCAAAGTTTAATGCATCCTCTTACAAATAATGACACTTTTAAATCCATAGATACTAAACAACGTAATATTTCAGGATACTCAACGAGATGTAACGCACCCGATTGTCTAAATCAAGCAGGTTGAAGAGAACTTTTAAACAAATATTGGAATGTTGAACAGAAAATAAATATCTACAACTATTAAGTCATATGGGCGTACATTTGACTACTCACTATATTTCACAACCTTTTACAATAGAATTTGACTGTTACTTTGTATATAAATGACTTTCTTTGTAAAAAAAGACAGAAATTCAGTAAAAATACATACAGGATTTTTTTTAAAAACTCCATATTTATATGTTTAGGACAAATTACAATATTTCTAAACATTAGAAATACTGAGTTATTCAAAATAAGTGAGATATTGATGGTATATTATATTACGGATACAAAGAAGGGAGACTAAAGTGTATATAGTTAGTAGAAATTATGAAAATTAACAAAAAAAGCATATAATCTACACAATGTATGTTAAACTAGTTACACCTTTTTCACACACCGAAAAAAAAGAATAAATAAAGCATACCTCTGCGTCCTGAATGATTACAGAGATTAGAACCCCACCAACACATATGGGAAGGTATTATAAAAAATAAGTTGAAAATAGGCAAAAATGACGATTTAGAGTATCATCATTAAAATAAATAATAAACAACACATATAACCGAACAATATTGTTTTTCATTACATCCTCATCAGACTTTAATATACAGTAATATTTATATAAATATACGAAATTATTAGACAAATCAAAGCAGTTTATGAGCCAGTGATAACAGTGGAACGGATTCTGTGACTATGGAAATAGAAAAAGTTAACTAGATACCGATATACAGTTTGAGAATTTATATTCACAAACAACATATTTGGTCCCAACCTCACTTGATGAACTTACTAGATTTAAAACCAAGTAGGCTGACATCTGCCAACAACGCAAAACTGGTAAATATACCACGAAATCACCACGTACTAAACAACATCGAGATGCATTATATATGCTTAGAAAATATAACTTTCTGATCATAAGCAAGCTAGACAGAGGAGGGCTAGTTCTAATAAACAAAGGTGACTAGATCGATAAAATGAGCTCGTTCAATGAATGATCCGACTAAATTTCAAAAACTCGACGACGTTAAGGATAAAATATGGAAGC